CTAATACCGATTCTTTCGACCTGGGTGAGCAGGAAGCATGGAGAAGTCAACTTCCACTTGACGCAGTTCTTGTCTGGTCATGGCTGCTTCATGAAGTACTTGCATCGGTTCGGACACACAACTTCACCCTTCTGTCCGGAGTGTGAGAATGTGGAAGAATCACCCGAGCACGTGGTGTTGTGGTTTCCCCTATTTTCCGCACTGGTGTTGTGGTTTTAAATGATGCAACTAGGAATTCAAGATCATCATACAAAGATAATGAACGTCGAAATATCGTAAAGTACATTAGAAATAACATGGGAGACTTTCTTGATCAAGACAAACAGAGAAGAGAGCCCACTGCTATCGGACATGGATTCCGTGAGTGGTAGACCACTATCGAGACGGCTAATACATAGGTGTAACAGTCGGAAGAAGTGTTAGTTTGTTTACTTAAATGAACCATGCCCATTTTGTTATGGCATGTTTGCTATACGAAATGCGCCTCGTGTTTATTAGCGAATTTCACATCAAAGATTGATTAATTGAGTAGGAAATCAGTTTGGCGCGGCATTTGTGACCAGCATACACCTTCCGGTAGTATGAAACAGGTCAAAAACTGTTCAAATCCGCAGATAAAATTTTTGTTTTGAATTTCTGTATAGCAAAATAGTGAACTTTTCGTGAACATTAACGGCAAAGAACTCACCAACACTGGGAGACTGTGAGTTCCTGCCCACCTGTTCATTTTCCATCGTGGACCACTATCACGATGGAAAATGAACAGGTGGGCAGGAACTCACAGTCTCCCAGTGTTGGTGAGTTCTTTGCCGTTAATGTTCACGAAAAGTTCACTATTTTGCTATACAGAAATTCAAAACAAAAATTTTATCTGCGGATTTGAACAGTTTTTGACCTGTTTCATACTACCGGAAGGTGTATGCTGGTCACAAATGCCGCGCCAAACTGATTTCCTACTCAATTAATCAATCTTTGATGTGAAATTCGCTAATAAACACGAGGCGCATTTCGTATAGCAAACATGCCATAACAAAATGGGCATGGTTCATTTAAGTAAACAAACTAACACTTCTTCCGACTGTTACACCTATGTATTAGCCGTCTCGGACCACTATCATCATCATTATCATCGTCATCATTACAAAGGACAGCCGTACAGGCAAAATCTTGATTCACTGTATGTCCAAACATCCCAGAAAATCTTACTATTTTCATACCGTCCGGTGCGACCAAATTTAGTTCCGGTGGAGAGACGAGTACACGCCCGTGCTGCTCGTAAATATGTCAAAACATTTACCCGTGGCCGTATCATCAGAAAAGCAGCCTTCTACCCGATCCAATCAAACCAAAAAAACGTTAAGCCAGCCGGCATTCACGGTGTTTTTGTTCTGGCCATTACAGTAAACCTTTGTTTTTGTTTTCCCATTTTTTTTTCTCCGGTCGTACCACGTGCCGTGTGTGCCTTCAATTTTCATTAAAAACCACAACCGAAGATGACTCGAGGGCGGACATGTGTGAATCCGTTTTCGGAAGAAAAACGATGCGGAAACTTAATTAACCTACAGCCGGGTGCTTTTTTTTTGGATTCTGCCTTGCAGTCGAAATAAAAGCCGCCTTCAACTTCGTCCCAATCGAAGCTAGATGCAACCTGCAACGCAACCTACGCACGCACCTTGACTTGGCAGGCAGCCCACTGACTGCCACCGGCAGCAGCGACTTTCAACAAATTATCCCTGTACAAACTCGGACGTGCATCGGTATGCAATGACAAACGCAGCATGCAGCCAGCAGTCGATTACAGGCTTTTAGCTCGTTCGGAAGTAATTGCACCCGACGACCAACGTCGGAAGTTGAACGACGCAACCGGACCATGTGCATTTCGGAACTCGCTCGTCGTCCTACACCCGGTCTGTTGTTCGCCGCCGCCGCCTCCACCAAGGGCCGCTACCATGCACCGACCGACAGCAGGTATTGGTACCTGTATTATGAATGAGATTTCGTCATCAAGATGTGGCTTTAGCTACATCCTATATGGCAAGCGAAGCGAAATCAGTCGAGGTGGAGGAGAAGGTTGAACAGGTTGAGCGCTGGTTGCTTAAGCATGAATGGCGTGTAGGACAGGACAGGACAGATGATCGAGCTGGTTGGGTTGGTGGAGGCGGACTCGAGACTGTATAGCAACAGGTGGGTTTTGCATTCTTGAAACGGGGTATAATTTCGTGGCTGTATAATTTAAGGGCATATGCTTTTTAAGGGTAATTGATACTTCCGTTGCGTCCTACAAAGTATACTGTTATGAGACGGAGAGGTTTTCATTTCGGAAGCTGATAGTTTATATCATTTAGGACAGCTATATTCAGACATCTTTGAGTCGAGCAACATTGCTGGAGATATGATTTGAATGGCTCTTTGTTAGATAGGGTTGTTCATCTCATGACTCTAATTTGGCTGCCGCGTCCGAATGCAGGTCAACAAAGGATTGGGTAGGCATGCGTTGACGTGACACTCGCTTTGATGTAAGCTGATAAATCCTCTGCTCGAGGAATCATTGAGATGTTGGATAAAACGGTTAGGTTTGTTTTGGTAAACAATAAGCTGAATTGATGTCCTAACGATCTTAAAACGTGAAGGAGAATGGGATTGAGCCCAAGACATATTATTGTGTCGCCAGCACTACATTAAAGTTCGGAAGTCTGACTTCCGACTTCCGAACTTTCTTCCGACCTATGTGTCAATCATGACTTTGACACTTGACATTTGACATTTCTACACAAAAAAAAACTGTTTTCTTTGAAAAATCTGGATTTCGATCATTTCGATTGAGTACATTTAAAGTTTTACCGTGACATAAAGGATTGAAACCGTGAAATATTTATCCTCAGTAGCAATGGCCAATTTGATTATACAAACGGTACGCCATCAACATGCGCTCGGCCTGGCAATAAGGCCTCGAAAAAAAATGCACCAGACGAAAGTGTTCGCCGAAAATTTATTTTAAGTCGGATTTTCTTGAAACTTTCAGGGAATGAACTAATACATATTGATTATGTTTCGGCATAATTACTTTATTCAATTTCCTTTCCATCGCTGAAAGCCCGCACCTTTCCCTTAAGACCCCTCATTACATTTTGTGCAATGGTGGAGCCGACCTTTTTGGTCACTTTCATCCATTCTTTCTTCAATTCCAGCTCGTTCTTATACACCTTGGACGATTTTCGAACTTTAGCCTTCATTCTGGCCCAAAATCTTTCCACCGGACGAATCTCTGGTGAATTTGAGGGGTTGGTGGTTTTTGGTACAAAAACAACGTTATTGTCTCTGTACCACTACAACGTCGATCGCGCGTAATGGCATGATGCCAGGTCCGGCCAAAATAATTTCTCGCCTCCGTGGGACCGCAGGAAGGGCAACAGACGCTTCTGGAGGCACTCAGTGCGGTAAATTTCGCTGTTGATGGTACTCATTGTAATGTACGGTTTATTTACTCAGTTTACCGCATTGGCATATGGCCTGGCAGAGCAAGTATTTTTTGGCGAATTTGTCCACTTTCTGCTTCCTTATGTTTTCCGGAACATCAAACCGTGATTCCAAGAACGGAACTCGCCCGTATCTACGGGAAATCGTTAGCCACCATCGGCCATTGGATCACCAAATACGAACAAAACGGTTTTTATCAGCGGAAACAAAGAACGCAGGCGTATAAGAAGCTCAGCGTAGAAATGAGGGAATGGCTCGTTGAACTCTATCATCGAGAACCTGTGTTGTTCCATGAGGAGGCGAAACAGAGATTTCACCAAAAGTTTTTCATAACGATTAGCGTGTCATCGATATGCATCATCTTGCATGCAGCAGGACTAACGTGGAAGTGTATCGAGCGGAGAGCCATGCAAATCAGGGAACTTGAAATTACACGATTCGTCCGCGACTTGCTATCCGTGCCTTTGGATCTTAGCAATTTTGCTTTTTTGGACGAAGTCAGTTTCGATAACCGTTATATGCTGCGGATGAAGGGCTATGGCATGAATGGTCAAAAAATTCTATATCGCGGTGAGATTCGCAGAAAGCCACGAGTTTCATTTTTGTGTTTCCTCGGCGTAGGTGGAGTGCTAGAAAGCTTCTGTACTGAGGGAACTTTTAACAGAAGAATTTTTTCGAATGCTGCCGGAAGTTCGCCTTGAAAAACAGGGAGGTGGAACAGTATTCAGGTTTACATTCCGTTTGGATTCTTGACGGAGCAAGAATCCATTGTGGTGTGAATCTGATACGCTACCTATGTACGTTCGATTGGCATAGTTCCGATATTTTTGCCTCCGTATTGTCCATTTTTCAACTCGGTTTTTGAAAAGACAGCACCGTGAGGGTTCTCCAATATTGCCCGATATCTGTGATGCTGTTACTCGATTCAGAGTGTATCCAAGACTTGGATTCCAAGTGCCAAGATTTTTGAGCACTGTAATTACCTACCCGGTGGTCCATTTATGCCAGAAAAAGGCATCCAGCAGGACATAAGTAGTTTGGATTTTAATATTACAACAAGATGAAGGAGCAACTTTTTCGATTTATTATTCACATAAATAAAGAAAATCAGCAATCAAAAACAAATAACATTTCATTTCAGAATATCGAATCGAAAGAAATAAGAAGTATGTGACACTTGGTCTACGAAAAGGTTATTTCCATCACTTATGATCCACGTCTTCACAATCTGCTACGCTGTCTGCAAGGCTCTGACTGAGTTCCGTTTCCTCCGGACTAACAGCTAATTCCATGGAGTTGAATAGCTCGATCCCAACTCATCCTCTATTCTACAACTCCTGTATTTTGGCCAAAGCTCCATCCAGCAATTTTTTAGCGTCCATTAGAACTTGCTCTCATCCATCCACTGTTATTGTTTTGTGTAATAATCATTCCATTATGTACGGATTCCAATCGGCTCTGCTCGGAAGATGCAACCCATCGAAGGTAATTCGATAATTGCATCGGAGGGGTGGTAGAATTTTTCATTTCGTCTTGTTGTATGCTGGCGAGGAATGAATTACGTTAGCCCATAAGAGCCACGAGCTGTAATGTCCTTCCAGGTGATTATGTTTATCACGCAGTCCATCTGCCAAAGCAGAATCGTCTCGGACAGAATGTGCTCCAGCTCGATCTGGATTTTGAGGTGAAAGCAACTTCCGCAGAACGGCCTGATGTTGGGCACTGGTTTCAACATTAGTTGACCACACGTACACATAAACTCGCACAGTTTTTCCCTTCCATCCTCTCAAAATCCTGGTTGAAACGGATTCAATTGCGTACATCTTCTTCTTGGTGGTGTCCTGCAATGTTACGAATTCATCGACGTCATTAACTGTGGGCAGGCATGGAAAATCATTTACATTCATTTCATGCAATCATTTACATTCATTTGCCTCTAACTTTTTTCATCAACAGCATTCCGCAAAATGATGTATAGAGCTTTAGTAGGTTTTGTTATTAGCTACAACTTTTGCCCATAACTCAAATGTGTATCTTTTGTGCATCACGAATTAGAGCGGGCAGAACTTGTTACTGTTTTTCAGTGCATGTAAAATACATTCACTGAAAAACAGTAGCGGCTTCTGTTCACTCTGGTTCGTCATACATAAGAGATACGGATTTAAGTTGTTGACAAAAGTTGTAGTTAATAACAAAACCTACAAAAGCTCCATACATCATTTTGCGGAATTCTGTTGATGAAAAAAGTTAGGGGCAAATGAATGTAAATGAATGCACGAAATGAATGCAAATGATTTTCCATGCCTGACTGTGGGCTGTACGTTTTCAGACCATCGGGGAGTGTCTTGGTCAAACACCACCTGCCGTTCTATTTTAGCCAACGCAATGTTCCACATACAATCCACAATCTCGGCTTTACTGTCTCCATAGACGGTCATCCTGGTCCATTCTTTCGGGTGCGACTGGTTTCTGTAGAAGCGTTGAAAGAAGATTCCGGTGAACGAAAAAAACGTATTCGTTCTTTTCTCATGACGGACCAACTTCCTCATCGTCAATATATTCGGCTCCTGCCGTGTCCGGAACTTCGAAGTCATCGAGATTTCTACAATGAAATTATTTTCTAGCTTTAAATATTAAATTAAAAAATATAGATAATACATTACCCAATAGATTCATCCACAGAGCTGACAATATTGCAGTGCTGCGAAAACATTTTATTTTTCTAAAAAATCGTGTCGGAAGTGAGCCAGGTTGCCAGTTTACAGGCGACGTACATATAATTTTTATTGAAACGCACAATAACAAATAAAGCGAATAACGAATCTTGAATGTGAAGGGACCTAAGATTAAACTCATGATGTTCTGCTTAGTAAGCAAAAACGGTCGCTCTAAGGCCACCGAGCCCCTCATATCGCATTATACCTCCCCCATGATCGATTTGTTGTGGAAACCATCCTAACCCGGCACCGACGACGACAACAAGTTTCGTATAAAATGACCTGGGCTTGATCCCACGTTTTTCAGCTCAGTAAGCAAAAACGGTTGGCTAATGCAGCCGAGTCCCTCATATCACAACACACCCACTTGTGATCAAGTTGATGCTATAACCATTCAAACCCGGTAAGCTATTTAGCTGATGAACACAAAAGTGTAACCAAATAAATTTAATTTATTTTAGAAGCTTCCACCGATTACGTTTTGCGAGAAGTTTATAAGTCATTAGACCAAATGCATTGATTATTTTAAACTCAATCTACACAATGACTTATTTTCCATACATTTTTGTATGACATCTGTATACTTATTTCCGAAGGACAAAATCACATTTTGAAAAAATTTTCCTACACACATGATCAAATTGATTCTTCCTGAAGCTCATCTTGCTGCTTGATAGATTGTCTTCTAAATACAAGTGGTTTTAAATTTCTTACGATCCCGGAAATTAGCAGGGACATGCTTTTTCAACTGTCTTTATAACAATTTTCACCAGTGTATTTCAAATGTGTTAACATAGCAGTAACTTATTCAATAAAATTGAGGAAGTAAGTAGTTAGAGATTTGTTAATATGTGAACTGTGTTCCATTTCTTGGTTATCGGTTGGTTGATTGTCTACAGTAAGAACAACTTACTCCTTTTGACCTAACGCTAACATATACCGATTCGGAAGCAAAAACATGATAGGCTGCTGGTAACTGGTATCATTTTCAATAATTTCGGTAATATCAAATTCTTCGTCGACGAATACGGGAACCGTAATTGGGTCTTGGAACACTTCTGGATACACAGTATCAGCATTACCGTACGCTGTTTCATGAGACGTGGGCGCATCGACAGCCATATCTCCAGTCTCCACAGGTTGTATATTTCCTGCACTAAATGTTGATTGGACATCCGGTATATCCTTCGATTGTTAGTTGACAACATTACACATTTCCTGCTTGATAGTATTACCGTGATTTGGTTTTTCTGCAGCATACATGGCGTACACTTGGTTGTACATTGTTCTGCTTGAACCTGAAAAGTTATAACACAGTGGTGCTGTCGTGCCTCTGCTCATCATTCTCTGCTTGACTATTGAGCAGGTCAGTCGTTTAATAAAAGCGTTTGCTTGTTCGTGTTCGCTAGTATTTTGGGAAGAAATCTGGTGGTAGTGGGCCTGGATCGATAAAAACGACGCCGACACACAGTCGGCAACCAAAAAGCTGCTGGCAAACTACCGGATGAAATAAAAAAGAGCAGAAAATGCCGCCTTTCTTCGTGAAGAGATTCCGTCGCGGCTTACGGGAACAAATCTTCATCGCCCGAGGACTGAATTGCACCATTAAATACTGCACGGAGGTCTACAAGCTAATGGTTCCGGCGATGAACCACTACAAGGCGGTTCAAATCATGCTGGAAAAGATGAAGGTAGCATACTTCTCCCTCGACATCGAGGCCAACAAACGTTTTGAGGTTGTTGTGCGAGAACTCCCGGACATGGAAATAGATGCCCTGCCAGAAGAGCTGAAGGCCAATGGAATCAAATTGGTACAGGTGCACAAAATGACTCGTCATGATGCCAGTCGAAAGTTCCAAAACCAGCTGTATCTGGTCCACCTGTAGAAGCACTCAACGTACCTGAAGGATCTGCAAAACATTCGGACCCTGTTCCACGTCGTGGTGCAATAGGAGCAGAATAAGCCGGTCCACCTTCTGGTTACTCAGTGCTCGAACTACATACAGGCCGTATGGTCACTCGCTGCAACAAATGTGGCGAACAACAAAAGCATGGAGGAAGCGGACCCCAAATGCGCCAACTACCCAGTCACAGGAAGGTGCCAGACAACAACCGGCTGAACTTTCCACGGCTCCCGATCCCGGTGCTACCACCACTGCTATTCAACAATCGTTTGGCTGCTACTGCTGCAAACACCAACCAGCAAACGACTGCTGCACTACGTCCGGAACCCTCTCCTGCCCCTGAACTTAACTGGCGTCTCGATCAGGAATCGTAACCACAATCCAACGACAACACTAACGCTCCATACTCACCGGAACAGTTGATCCCCCTATTCACCCAGCTGTTCAACTCTCTGGGCAGCTCCAAAACCCGATTCGTCCAGATTCAAACTCTGAGCTTATTCGTCATTCTATATGACCTGTGAAACCATCAGCATCGCAAATTGGAACGCTTCGCAAATTGCTACATCGAGTTCATTGACTTCCTCAACGAACGAAACATTGCGATTGCCGTCATTACCGAAGCGCACCTGAAGTCCGAGATAAATGTCTTCCTTCCTGACTTGCCGCTTGATAGAACCAACTCCAAGAGAGGGTGAGTGGCCGTCGCTATAAGGAGGAACATATGCTGCCAACTACTGCCAAGTTTCCAGCTGAAAGTCATCGAAGCCGTAAGGGTGGAAGTCTCATTGCTGGTGACCTCACCAAACATCTAGCTTGGGACAACGATCTGCAAAAAGCTCGCTACAACAACTTAAGCCCGGACAGTCCCACTATGTTGAGTCGGTCCGATGTTCACGCTACCATCGATATCTTCATCAGCAATATGGGCAACAACATCCCTCAACCTGTCACCCGGTCATCCGGTGGTGGCCGGTAAAGCTTCTCGGCGCAACTACCATCGTGTCGACTGGGGTCAGTTCCAACACTGTGTCGACACCGATGTTCAACCGGAATCGTCCGAAGACGTTAAACAGTGTCAGCGTTCCATCGTAGAGGTGATATCCCGGGCCAAGGATCAACATGAGCCAGTATCAAGTACATGTGAGCAATACTCTGAACCTTGACAGATATACCAAATACCTTATAAGACTCCATAGCACCATCCGAAGCAGTACCAACACTCTGTGTCCATAAGACCAATTGTAATCGCCTTACCAAAATTATCCAAGCCAGGATGGTAGATATCAGAAATAACAACTTTGTAAGTAAGACCCGCTCTCTCCCAGATGGGGCTTGTCCAAATTCGTGAAGCATTGTGTTCTTCGACCTATGGTCGGCAAAAAATATCCTCCATGGCGCGCTCGCCGGACCCCAAACCTCAACATAAAACAATCGGGAACAACTCACCAGTTGGTTTAACTGCTGTTGATTACTGCGCTGTTGTTACCAGCTGCGACGATGATGCGCGTTCGACCGTTGGTTTCTAAACAGCCATCGATTTCCACGTGGGTGGACGAACGGTGATCTCACCAGAAGTGGCATTCGACAACCACAAAACCCCGATAAGCGAAGTGCTTGCGTATCGCTTTCCACCGGACAAGGGGACGGTTGCTGGAATATTTTGCCCCGGAGATGGCGTTGGATGCCGTTGGAAGTCGACTAGTTGAAAAGAACATTTCAAGACCAACAATTGAAAAGGCCTCAACTCCATTTTGTAAACAAACCTTGTAAGGCCATTTTCTCACGAACCGAAGTCCAAGGCAAAACAACAGAATGAATCGGCAGAGGAAATTCTACTCTACCCGATTATGGTTTAAGTTTGCGAATGAAGGTTTCGGTTCGCGAGAAATTGCATTTTGTTTACAAAATGGAGTTGAGGCCATTTCAATTGTTGGTCTTGATTTACCACAATGCACAGATTTTCTTTAACAAGCACATCGACGACATTACCTGGTCTAGATTCGATTCTTCGCCCACTCAAAATCTAGCCTATGACGCACACTAAGTTTAGCATTATAACTAACTATCTAAACAATCAACAAGGAGAAATTATAAGTACAAAGTAACACCACGTTTCATTAACTCACTTTACAAAACTATACAATAACGCGAACTAAACGAAACACTTCCACTGTAATCTGCGGTTCGGACGAAAGTGAAGCGAAGCCGTGACCCTCAGATTAGGGAAGGTGACCTCGGCCGAACTCAACGGAAGTTCGATTTTCCCGCGAACTTCTTTGAACTAGATCGGCAATGCGAGAGATTATTCTGATCGCTGGCCCTTCGTTCAAAGTAGGATATAGCCACAACTCTCTCTTTACCCAACTTTCCAGAAGATTTCACTCGCCATCAAGCTTACATCAGTAAAGAGTTGGAATAGAATTTATATGTGCTTGTTTGTCCATATTCAGAACCACAAGCCCCCAACGACCACACAAAATGCTCTCCAGAGTTGTAATCTTGTAACCAAACTTGGAAGCAGGGGTGCAAGTGATTTTGATTGATTCTCTTAATCAACTTTCTCTTTGAAAAAAATTACTACAAATTTGGTACGCCTATAATTCACAAACGGAAAGAGTTGAGATAAAAGATAATTGATCAATTCAAAGAACTAAATGCTCTTCACATTTATTCCGTCCACTAGCGGTCCTACGTCAAGCTTCCGTTCGTGCCCCTATGCACAGACCCTTCTACTTTTTTTCCGTCGATCTTGTTTTCCGTACTGAGCACCAATGCTACCGACGCCAAGGAGGCAGCTCCCACACCTGGACCCTATCTATCTATCGACCCATCAACTCATGAACCGGGGACCAACGGCTTTACTTCCTTTCCCAAGGAAGGCATGATCAGAGATGTTATGCCTCAGAACATCTCGGCGGCGCCGAC